TCCCCTTCCCCCAATTCCCCAATAAAAATCTTTAAAAAAAAAAAAGTCTAAATGATGATCCACATTCTGCTAATAATAGACTACTAGGGAGGTATAGTGATCCACAGTTTTGTAAACTGTTGAATTACATAAAAGTGAAATAAGACTAAGTTAAAAAATACCTTCCTCACATGAGAATACATGTATAAATGAAGCATAATGAGTGATTTTAAATCAGTAAATGCCATGACACAAACCTAAGCAAACTAATGAGGACTTAACTTTCAATCTCCCAGTTTGCAAATACTAACTCTTCTGTTCAGTAGTAGATTAAAAAAGCTACTAAGCTGGGTGGGCGAATAAACAATTTTAATGTTTGACCTTTTCTCAGCATTTACTCACCCACCCTAATTTCATCACAATGGTAGGAGAGTAGGTTTTATTTTGGGTAAGCTTAGGAACTGTGGATTTAAATGCAGGGCTCTTCATACTCAATGAAATAGATCTGATTTCTAATATATATAATTTTTCAGATGGCTTAAGAAATCATCTATTAACATAAAAGCTTTATTTCCTCATTTGCAATCACAAGAGAAAATCTATGTCATTATTCTCTCAGATGGGAGGACAGTGAGCATGATCAAGCTTGAGTTTAAGGATTTGCATATTAAATACAACTTTCTGATTTGCATATCCCTGATGATTAGTGATGTTGAGTATCTTTTCATATGTTTGTTGGCTGTTTATCCTCTTTGGAGAAATGTCTTTTCATATTCTCTGCCCATTTTTGATTGGATTATTTATTTTTTTGTTATTGAGGTGTGTGAGTCTCTTATATGTTTGGATATCAACCCCTTATTGGATATATCAATTGTGAATATAGTCTCCCATTCAGTAGGTTGTCTTTTGTTTTGTTGAAGGTTTCCTTCTCTGTGCAGAAGCTTTTTAGTTTGATAATGTCCGTTTGTTTATTTTTGCCTTTTTTTTTTTTACACAATGAGATACCACCTCAAACCAGTCAGAATGGCTATTATAAGAAAGTCAACAAATAATATGTCTTGAAGAGGATGTGGAGAAGATGGAATTCTTATGCATGTTGGTGGGATTGCAAACTGGTGCAACCCCCTATGGAAAACAGGATGGAGATTCCTTTAAAAAACTAAAAATAGACATGCTATATTACCCAGAAATTCCACCTCTGGGTATTTACCCAAAGAAAATGAGAACACTGATTTGAAAAGGTATATGCACCCCTATGTTCACTGCAGCATTATTTACAATAGCCAAGACAGAAACAACCTAGGTGTCCATGGATAGATGAATGGATAAAGAAGATATGGTATATATAATATATGCAATGGAATTTTACGCAGCAATAAAAAAGAAGGAAATCTTGCCATTTGCGACAACATGGATGGATCTAAAGGACATTATGCTAAGTGAAATAAGTCAGACTGAGAAAGACAAATACCATACAGTTTCACTTATATGTGGAATCTAAAAACAAAACAAAACAAAGCGAATGAACAAACAAAACAAAACAAAAACAGACTCATAGAAACAGAGACCAAAGGGAAAGTTACCAGAAGGGAGGCAATGGGTGAAAAGGGGAAGGGGAATGCAGTGAACAATATTGTGATAAGTTTGCACAGGGACAGATAATTACTATAATTAATAGAGTGACTTCATTTTAAGGTATAGGAATAAAAATGTAGAATCACTGTACTGTACATCTGAAACTAATATAACCAAAATAATATTATATACCAACTGTCCTTAGATAAAAAATTTGTTAAAAATGTAACTTCTAATGGATAAACTTGTAAAATGGTGAATAAAACATTAAGAGTTTTAAAGAAAGATTCTTTAAAATTTATTTTATGCAAACTGTACAATGAATCAGGATGAGTTTAGAAAATTCAGTTAAACTTCTAATACTGTTAGTAATATTGATTTGATATATAGTAAATTAATTAAAAATAGAAAACAGAATCCTACCTATTTATAATAATTAAAAAGGCAACAGATTTTTAACTCACTTGATGAAAAAAATCGAACTGAAATTTTAGAGATCATTTGATTCAACTCACATTTTACAGATAATAACTTGGGGTGTTTGGAAAAAGTAGAAAACTCAGACCAAAGGCTTTTATCCTTTACGAATAAGATGGTTTCATCTGATTTTTCCTTAGATTGGCTTGAAATTTTTAGTGAACTGAGCAGTGGTTATAATTTTCTGCTAATACAATTTGAATCCAAGTTCTTGTAATTACTCTGTAAAAGTTTTGTTTTCCTTGAGACTTTACTCTAAAATCACATTCTTTTAACCAACTTCTTTACTGAAATTAATGTGCAGTATACTATTTCTGTTTCTTGAAGTGTGAGAAATTCATGACTGATGGATTCACTGTTGTACTGACAAACTTCCTAGAACAAAGTCAACTTTCATGCATCTCTGCATAAAAATGTAATGTGAAAATGTAGGGACTATCTCAAAATGTGAAAGCATAATATTTTCTCTCTTTTTTTTCAATTGATTTTAAATTATATAGTTTTATTTTTTATTTATTTATTTTTTAAAATTTATTTTTTTTTTATTGTTAGTTTCAGGTGACATAATAATTTCTTATTTGAACAGTATTTCTACTAGCCTTTTTTGTCACCAATATATGAACATTCTTAGGACTCTCATGAAGAACATAATGCAGATGCCACATGATAAGTATAAGTGGGTACACTTGTGTCTTGTGCTTCTGAATGGTAGTGGGAAAGGCTTTCTGGTATCATTTTTCTTGAAGAAATAATTTTTGTAACTTTCTGAAGGAAGCACAGGGACAAGACCTCCAGTGGATGTGAAGTTCAGAGATAAAAGAAAAGGGAGAAAAATGCTCTTGTCTTGACTGCAGCTGCTCTAAAGCATCACTATTTGAAGCATTTATATATTTAACCAGATATAAAACACATATCTGGTATATATGTGTATATAATGGGAGTATATAATGGGAGAAAGAGTGCTACACAAATAGACAATGAATCTGGTAACAGAACAGCCTTTTTCCTGCCTCTTATTTTTTGGATAGTTTTGCTTCCTTAAAGAAAAAAAAAAAACCTAATTGTTTTATTTAGTCTTCCTGATTCATTGTAAATACTTGGCAGCTGTTTGTATTGGTGGTGTTTTTTTTTTAAAAAAATAATCAGAATTTTGAGAGGACACTCTTTTAAAAGCAATTGATTGCTTCAGAGTACAAAAGGAAAACCATTAAAATCATAAGCAAACAAAAACTTTCTAGAATCAGTAAATTGACAGAACCATTTTGTCACTTGGTTTTGAAGTTGCTTATTGTGAATAAAGTGTATCTACTGCTCTGGAAACTGTTAAAATAAACAAAGCTCCCCGAGGCAATAAAGATCATTTAGAATGTACTTAGTTGAAATGGAGGTTCTAAATATTTAAGACACTGTCTCCCAAGCCATTAATAGTGAGATGTTGTTTGGCCTTGCTAAAGTATTCGAAGGAAGTAGGAGGTCACATTTTGCTAAAAATTCAGCTCTGAGAGCACTTACCTTTAATTACATAATTTAAAATTATTACCTTCAACTATTATGGAAGGGTAAATTAAAGTGTGCATAAACCTCTCCGTGATCATATTGTAGTAATAGGGAAATTATTACATGTATTGCAACACAAATCTTTTTTATAAATGTCATGTGGCCATCTTAGCAATTTTATATTTGCAAGAGATTTTTTCCCCTTTCTGTATTGATTAACTTTCAGTTGTCAAAGTCAAATCTACCGTTTTTCCTACTTGGAGAGTTTTTCCAAAATTGTGTGCCAACTTTTACCTTTAGAAAATGAAATTCATTACTAAGACAAGCCCAGTTGTTTACAATTCAAATGGAAGCATTGATATTTATAAAGCACTTCAATGATGACTTGTTATCTCATAGTTTGTAATTGTGAGCTCTCTAGGCCTGGCCAGGTCTTTCCTTTGGGAAATTACTGTCAACTGTTGTCATCATTTGGGAGAAATGTCCATGTAATTTTGGATGGTTAACCCAGGTAGGAATAGTGGAAACTACAGTGCATTTGTAGGTAAAGAAAATAATCTTTTTCTGTTGAACACCTTGGTCTGCATTTAAAAAAATTATATTGTCAACAGTAAAATTCTTGAGGCAGAGGACAGAGATCCCAGTGACTTGACTGTCCCTGAGAGATGTGGGGTATTTGGGAACGGTGTGTAGCCAGAATATGATAGCTCATTACCAAGAGTAATGAATATGCAAGAAACCTCTCCAGGTCCTGAACAAAGGAAATGGCAAGCTTGATAAAGGAACAGTTGCTTTTGCCTTTTTAGGCTTTTCTCACTCAGATGTGTCTTATCCACAAGTGCAAAGGCATACTTTGTTCTCGATGGGGGTAACTCACTTAGATATGCCATTCAAAGTCCCCAGAAGCTTGGGTAATTCCTAGGCAGCAACTTCACACATATAAAATAAGGCAGAGAATTCAGCAATTTGGTCATTGTCATCAAATGGGATAATTTCAGAAAAATATAAATGAAGTTGGATTTTTAGAAGTGGCTTAATTTATTTTCTAAGTTGGGTATTAGTCATCTATTGCTGCATACCAATTATCTAAACATTTTGCAGTTTAAAGCAACAGACACTGTCTGAGAGTCAGAAATGGCTCATACTCTCTCCCAGGGCACAGTCTTTTGAGGACCTGTTTCCAAGCTCACTCATGTGGCTGCTGCCTGGAGATGGCTGGCTACTGGCTAGAGACTTGTCTCCTGCCATGTGAGCTTCTCTACCTTGCAGCTGGCTTCCCACCATGAACAAGGGGAGAGGCTGAGGGAGCACCCGGGACAGAGCTACCAGCTGGTATCTCAATACTTTTACTGTCGCTGCTCACTGGAAGTGAGTCACTAATTCCAGCCCACATTCAGGACCAGGGGATCACTCACAGTGCTGCAACTAGGAGGAGACAATTACTGGGGGCTGTTTAGAGGCTGTCCGTCACCATGGATTGTTTTTGGCCTCTTCTTAAGCTTCTGGACTGTGCTGTAAATAACGGTAACTAAAGGTTGTGAGGTGAGAAACCAAGTGTAGGCTCCTTTCTCTCTCTTCCAAAGTTAATCATTGGAAATTCCCTGTGTATACACATTTCCACCACACATAATACAAAACCTTACAGAAAAAGGCTATAAAATGGAAGCAGCAAAATACATACAGAGAGTTTGTCATCCTGTGGAAGGAAGGCATTGGCTCACAGAGCCCTTGACAGTTAACTGGGGAGAAAGTAGACAGGTAGGGATGTAGAGCAGTGGTGAGGCTTCGAAGCTTCCTGGTGACAGGACAGACTCAGAAACTAGACCCCCAGGCTCAAACCTCAGCTGGCCACTTAGCTGTACTTCCTCCTTGTGTTTGCTTTTCCATGTGTAGTAAGAGAATAAAATAATACCTGTAAAGGGAGGATAGTAATAGTATGAGTTAATATGTGTGAAGTGCACAGACCAGTGCTTGACACACAGTAAACTCATTGATGTAAACCATTACTGATATAAATTAACAGCAGATAAGTGCATAAATGCTATTTCAAATGATGCAATCATACAAGTGAATTCTATTTTTCTCTTTACCCAGAAATACACCAAATTAGGTTATTTTGCTGCACAATATACACAAACATTTTTAAAAAAAAACACCCTAAGGCTAAAAACAAAGAAACATTCCAGTTAATTAAATGTGTATTTTGGGCAGTGTCAATTGTGATGTTTCTGTGCTACCGAGAATGCTGTGCTCCTTGATACCCTGACTTCCTTTTTAGATGCCCTCACGTCTTTTTCATTCCATTTCATTCATTTATTCACTGTTCATTCCTTTCATGAGTGTGAGCACCTCCTGGGCACTGGGTACTGGATATAACAGACATGGTCACAGACATATTAACAGATGCATGTGACACTGAATGTGAAGTGCTCTGGAATAGACACCAAAGAGGGAAATGTGCCTCTGTCTGGGGGAGGTCATGGACATGGGCAATATCCCATAAGAGAAAAAATGTGAGCTGAGGGGGAATATGCTTGATGGAGGAAGAATAAGAAGGTGTTTTAGTGGGAGGGAGGGAGGAAATGTAGATGGAAGATGCTGGCTGTTTAGGGCAGTAGCACAGAGTGCAGGATGTGCATTGGTGGAAATGAAGCCGCAAGCATAGGCAAGAGCCAGGTCTGCAACCTTGAACCAAGGGTAAGAACCATTACTTAACTGACACCTCAGAGTGAAAACTACCATCCTCTGGTCCCTTGCAAGACCCGCACAATCTGGCCCCATCCAGGATTCAGCTGCAAACTGGGCTCCCCACAGGATGTCTTGGGCAAGTCAGACAGGCCAGGCCTGCTTCCGCTCTAGGGCCTTGGCTTGAGCCACCAGCTTCACCTGGTGCGCTCTCCCATGAGGTGTCCTGGTTGCTCACCTATCTTACCTCTTGGCTCAAATCTCACCTTCACATTGAGGTCTACTTTCAGTGCTCCTAATGAATGCTGCAGCTGGCTTTCCCCACCCCAGGTACATTTGGTCCCCCTTTTCCTGCTGACTTCTTGTTTAGATAGTACTTATGTCCCAACATACATGTAATTGACCTTTTATTTGTTTATTGTTCATCATACATCTGCCCACCAAAATGTAAGCTCCCAGAGGCAGGAAGAGATCTTTGTTAGTCCCAGTACATAATATGTGCTTAATAAATATTTATTAACTGAATGAATAACCAAATGTCTTTGGATTGTTTTTAAGGAACTTCATCTCTGGATGAGAAATAAGAAGCAGAAAGGGAAAAAACTAGAAAGACAATTCAAACATGTGTTCTTGTTCTTTTATATTGTCTCATTCATGTATTTTCCTGTCAGCCCAATCAATAGTGTGAACATTTCTTCCTGCTTTAGATCTTTCATAAAGAGATTGGGAATGTCAATAATGGTATAAAAAGCTACAAATATGTGCATGACTACTTTGGGATGAAAAAGCACTTTTGTTGTTTTTTTCTTGCCCTACCACACCATCTCACACTTTCCCTTCTTTTGCCGCTTTCACTGCCAGCTTCTAGAGCAAGCCACCAGAAGCAGGGTGCCCTACGCTTGTGTGTGCAAGCTCTGATTGTCCAAATTCTGTCTTGATGTTAGCACTCCTTGATCTGGTCTTCCTGTCTGGGTCTGGGTACCCCATCTCTTAATCCCGATGTGCATCCCACACTGGACTGTCCTGTGATCCAAGAACCTCTGCACTCTGTGACCAGAAGCACCCAAGACCTTGACCCCCCTGGATACCCTTCTTGTTTTCTTGCTTCCTGATTATGACAGTGCTTCTCTTTTTTTGCCCACTTAATCTTTTACTTATTTATGGCCTGCCTTCATTCAAATATATTGGTGTTGCTTTATTGGTTAGATTTTAAGAGCAGGGACCATGCATTTTAATACTCCATTTCTCCTCATGCTCAACATAGTGTTGAATAAATGCTCAAGGTTTACTTCCTAACTGACATATCTACTTAGCTTGAGTCAGTGATACCTGAGGCCGGCGTTCTATAGCCACAGGTATTCTGTCAGCCTGCTTATTAACGCATTTTCCTTTTCTTCTCTCTTCCCACCCACAGCGTGTGCATTCCGGTACAATGGACTCTCCTTCATCTACCTCATCTACCTCTTGCTCATCCCTCTGTTCTCAGAACCAACAAGAGCAACGATGCAAGGTAAGAGACAGTTACTGTCCTGTGTCACAGTCTGTAGGCATTTACTGAGCTCCCTGGGTTTATTTTTACCTGATGGGACAGATGCTATCTGTGCAGCATACTGGTCCAGTGGGGACTGTTGACTAAACAATAATATCAACTAGGTATTATGTCACCAAAAAGGATTTATTTGGGAAAAAAAAAAAAGGAAAAAGGGCTACAACCCAGCACCAGCTTGTGCAGACACAGCAAACCACATGCACATTCTGGCTTGTGAGCTAAGATGGAGGGTAATTTAAGGCAGGGAGACAGGAAGTTAGAACCATAGAGTTTTATGAAAAGGAAGTTAGGATCATAGAATTCGACTAAGTGTTCTCATGAACTTCAGTGAGTCCAACTTCTCCCATAGACCTCCCAGCCTGATCCGTTTCCTTAAAGTACCAGTTCGTCTTTATCATTTCCCCCTTTTGATTGAGAGCTTTCTCTGAAAGCATTGCTGATCAACAGTCAGGTCTTCTGACTTCAGCCTTTTTGTCCCTCTGTGTCAGGAAGGATCTCTTCTTGGTGTCATCTCTCACATCAGAGGGAAAGTGCATGGATCAGGAACAGCTCATGTCCAGGGTTAACAGGCAACAGGTGCAGAGCTTAATAACAAGAAGAATTCAAAACAGAATTAGAACAACATAACAACCCAGTCTACATGATGAATTTAAACCAGGAGTTCAAACCTGTAGATAATGAAACAAAGACCATCATTATCTTAGATAGATCAAAATTCTTGATGACAGATTCAGCAACCAGAAAAGTTCCCCTCCTTTCACAATAGCTTAGGAAATGCTACTAACGACATGTTTCTTCCAAAGAAAAGAGAAAGATGAAATAAAAATCAATAGTGAGAATTAAGTTGTACAGGCCTGATTCAGTTGCTTTGGCCATTTTTTTCCTTCAGAGGTCACCTGCTTTAATTTTTAACAGCTTTAGTTTTAGGTCATTAGACTGGGTGCACTTCTAGTCAGGGTTTGGTGCATTCTTTAAGTGTGATGTGTGTATCCAAGAGTCTACTCCCTGGAGTTTAGCAGCACAGGGGTTAGTCAATATGTGATAAGGGCCCTTCCAAGGAGGCTGGAGGGAATTTTTTTGAGGTGTCTTTTCAAGTAAACAAAATCTCCAGGTTGTAGAATGTGGATTTTGAGATTTTCATTTCCCTGGAGTGCACTGTGAAATGATTGTTCTACCAAAGCATGATTATTTTCAATAGAAGCAATTAAGCCATTAAAATATTGAAGTATGTCTCCTTTTACCAACTGTGGACCAAAAGAAGCAGGAGTTTAATGCATGGGGCATCCTGTAATTATCTTGAAAGGTAAAAGCTTATGTGTCCCAAAATGGGTAGGTAGACCTGAGATTTGAAAGGACTAATGGCAATGCTTTTGGCCAAGGTATTTGAAGAGTATCTACAAATTTTGCCAGTTAAATCTTAATAATGTTATTAGTACGTTCAACTAAACCTGAAGATTGAGGATGATAAGCACAGTGAAAATGTTGTAGAGCTGGCCAAATAGCAGGGACTTGTTGTAGCACCTGACCAGTGAAATGGGGTCCTCTATCATTGTGGAATTTGACCCAAGTTCCCCAAGTAGGAATAATCTTCTCTAACAGGACTTTAGCTACTGTAGAGGCATTAACTTGTCTATAACAGAAAGCTTCAGTCCAGTGAGAAAACACATATCATGACTAAAACATATTTGTATCCATGAGATGAGGAAGCTGTATAAAATTTTTTGCCTAACCTCAAATGGTCCATTTAGCAACCTAAAATGTCCAGGGGTAGTATGAACAGACTTTCCTGGATTGTATTTTGGACAGGTGGGACACCTAAGGTAGGCATTTTTTGCAGCCTTGTTAATATCTCTCCACCAATATTGATTCATGAATGCGACCATTTTGTCAGTGCCAGTGATTTAACACATATGCAATAGTCAGCAGTGGAAATTTTTTTAGAGTTTCTGATAGGACTGGGTTGTTATTTGGTCCCAATCAGAAAATTCTTATTATTATTATCAAAGCAGCAATTGTTGTATTTCCAATCTTAGTTTTCTTCTAAAGCCAATCATTGTGTGTCTCTGGTCAGTTTTTCTTAGTTATCAACTGGGGAAATATCTCTGTGGACCAAGCCTGGGGTTTGACTGCTGCTGATGCCTTTAAAGGCAGCATTCTTAGTAGAAATATCAGCCAGGTGATTTCCTTTAGCTTTCAGAGAATCAAGTTTAGAATGTCCTGGAATCCTAATAATATTAATAGCTAAAGCATTAGATAAAAGTGTAATATCCAATAATTCCTGAACATACGGACCATTTTTAATTTTATCTCTATTGGAGGTAAGGAAACCATGTGGTTTCCGTAACATTCTAAAGTTATGCACTACTCCAAAGACATATCTATTGTCAGTGTAAATATTAACAGTTTTACCCTTTGCTAAAATGCAATCTCTAGTGAGGTCATACAATTCAGCCTGTTGTGCTGAAGTAGCCAAAGGCAAAAATGCTGCCTTGACAACTTCAAAAGGGGATAAAATAGCATAACCAGCACAGAGCTTACCGTTTTTGTTTTTTAAACATGAGCCATGTGTAAACCATGAGAAATTAGCTTTATCTAGAGGAGTCTCCTACAAATCGTCACGAAGACTCAGAAAGTGATCCATCAGTGTCCAGCAGTCATGAGGGGCTTCATCAGTTTCAGAAGGGAGAAGAGTAGCTGGGTTAAGGTTATTACAACTTGAAAGAGTTATATGGGAAGCAGTTAACAAAACTATTTCATAGGAAGTAAGGCAACTAACTGAAAGATGCTGGGTGTGATGAGAATTCAGGAGAGCTTCTACTGTTTGAGGTACAAAGATGGTTAGAGGGGATCCCACAATAATTTCTTCTGTAGCCTTAACCAGGAGGGCAGCAGCAGCAATAGCTGTGAGTCACCTGGGTAGCCCGGAGCCACAGGGTCCAGTTGCTGACTATAGTATCCTAGGGATGTATGTTGATCCTCATGTTTTTCAATGAGTACCCTAAGGGCATTTCCTTCCTTTTCATGCACAAAAAGGAAAAAAGGGAATCTGATAGGATGCCCAAGAGGTGGGTTTATTAAACTCTCCTTTAAGGCTTTAAAGGCTATGTCATCCTGTTCGTCCCATGAAATTGGGCCAGGAATCTCATTTTTTAGTAAGATACAAAGGTTTGCAATAGAGAGAGATTTGCTATCCAATTTGGACAATAGCTGACTATCCCAAGAAAACCTTGCAATTGGTACTTAGTTTTGGGCCTTGGGAAACTTAGGACACCATAAAGCCTATCTGGATACAGGTGTAGTCCTTGCTCTGACATCAGATGTCCCAAATATTGAAAATGAGTTTAGACAAATTGTAATTTTTTTTAGAGTCCTATGTCCCTTTAAGGCCAAAAGTTCCAACAGATGGATACTATCTTCCTGGGAGAAAACTTGAGAAGAGCAAAGAAGTAAATCATCCACATATTGCAACAAGGTGGAACTTTTAGGGAAAATTATATTGTCTAAATCAGTCTTTAAAATTTGTGAAAATAACAAGGACTTTCAGTAAAACCCTGAGGCATTACTGTCCAGGTAAATTGCTTTCCTTCCCAAGTGAAGGTAAAAAGGTATTGGCTAGCTGCAATAACTGGGATACTAAAGGATGCACTACATAAATCAGTTACTGTAAGGAATTTACTTCCAATTGGAATAGATGGTAGCAGTGTATGAGGGTCTGGAACAATGGGGTGCTGAGGAATAACAATGTGGTTTATTGCTCAGAGGTCCTGGACAAACCTCCACCCTCATCCCTTTGGCTTTATCATAGGTGAAATAGGAGTGTTACAAGGACTAGTGCAAGGAATAATAAGGCCCTGAGTTATGTAATCTTCTATTATGGGCTTCATAGCTTGAAGGGCCTATTTACTTAAAGGATATTAATTAATTTTTGACAGAGGTTTTGAAGGATCAATTTGAATCTTAATAGATTCTTAACTGTGGATTCTGCCAGTATCAATTGAATATTTTACCCATAAAGAAGATGGTTGATATGTGGCATATAAAACTGAAACCAACAAAGGAACAAGACAAACAAATGAAGAAACAAAAACTCATAGACACAGACAATAGTTTAGTGGTTACCAGAGGGTAAGGGGGGAGAGGGGTGGTAGATGAGGATAAAAGGGATCAAATATATGGCGATAAAAGGAGAACTGACTCTGGGTGGTGAACTTACAGTGTGATATATAGATGATGTATTACCCAATTGTACACTTGAAACCTATGTAACTTTACTAACCATTGTCACCCCAATCAACTTTAATTAAAAAAATAGGCAGTTGGTCCAATAGGGATAATTCACCAGTGCTCTCAGATTCAGTTACTGTACCATAAAAAATAGCACAAATAAAAGATGGTGAAAAGTCTTGTAATCCACCTGATTGGTCATTCTGACAGTTATTCTGACAGTTACCATCAAACTTGAACAGTATTTTTCCCTGTCAAGAAAGGATATTCCAGCATGAGACTTCTCTAAGAATGGGTAGGGGCAGAAGAACTAAGAAAAAGACAATGTGTATCTCTTAAGGGGCTTAAGCAAAAAGGAATAGGTTCAGAGATGTGAACCTGTTGAGGTGTTTTTGAAATCCCCGCTATTTGAAGTGTTTTATTACTCCAAAGCAGGGGCTGTACTATGACAGTATGGTTGAGCACTGAGAGTGTATGTAGCACCAGTGACAATAAGAATAGAAATAATTTCCTTACTAATTTGAAGAGAAGTTTCTCCTAGCTGATTAAGAGGAAGGATTGGAAAAAGCTCCTGTAAGTAGAAAGACCTTGAAAAGGCTGTTAGAAGGTTGAGAGCATCTGAAAATCCCTTTTCCAGTGTCCTGGCTCTTTACAGTAGTGGCAAAAATTTAGAGTCCTTCAGTTTCACATAGGGCCTCTCATTTGCCAAGGCTGAGAATTAAACATTTTGGCAAGCT